TTTTACCCACACCCCTGCCCTCCCTTCACCCCCTCTACCCCTTCCTATTTACAAAGGTGTTGTTTCCATTTTTAAACATTTTTGGGCTGGGGATTTAGCTCAGTGGTTCTGCTGCCTGCCTTGAAAGTGCAAGGGCTGGAGTTTAATCCCCAGTACCCCAGTACCAAAAAAAAAAAGATTTTTAAAAAACATTTTTTCTTTTCCCTTATTTCCTTTCCCCTTCCCCTCCCCATTTAACCATTTTCTTCCTATTTCACACTATCAATTACCATTTGAACCTTATTTATACTTTTAGTTTTTCACACCAGAAAAACTATTCAGTATTTACTTCTGTGTTCTATTTATTCCATTTAAGAGTATAGCCTAAGGGGCGTCCATTTAGCTATAAATGTCTTTAGTTTCTCATTCTTTATGGCTGAGTAGTACTCCATTTTATAGAATACCACAGCTTCTTTATTTCGTATCCAGTTGATGGACATTTGGGCTGTTTCCAAGTTTTAGCTATTACAAACTGTGCCACTATAAACATGGGTGCACATGCATCACTGTGGTATGATTCTTTTAATTCTTTTGGAAAGATACCCAGCAGAGGGACAGCTGGTTCAAATGGAATCTCTAATCCAAGTTCTTTGAGGTATCTCCATCTTGATTTCCACAGTAGTTGCACCAGTCTGCACCTCCACCAACGATGAAGAAGGATTCTTTTCTCCCTATAACCCTGTCAACTTTTATTATCGGTTGATTTCTTGATAGCAGCCATTCTTTCTGGGGTGAGGTGGAATCTCAGTGTTGTTTTCAGCTGCATCTCTAGAACAACCAGTGATGTTGAATATTTTTTTCATATATTTATTTGCTGTTTTTACTTCTTTGAGAAACGTCTGTTCATTTCAGATGCCCATTTTTTAATTGGGTCTGTGTGTTTGGGGGAGTCTAATTTTTTAAAAAATTATTTATATATTATAGATAGTAGTCCTTTGAGGAGTAGCTGGTAAAATTTTTTCCCACGTTATAGGTTATCTCTTAGTTCTGTTGGTGGTTTTGCTTGCACTGCAAAATTTTTTTAATACAATGAGATCCCAGTTGTTGATTCTTTGTGTAAGTTCCTGTGCTGCTAAGGATTAGTTCATAAAGTCTTAAGGCGAAAAGGGGACTATTGCTTCCGCTTCATCCATTCCCAAGTCCACATTACTCACTGCTCTGCCCTGTCCTTTGAACACCTTCCAATCTGCACCATGTTGCAGTCAGACTGGAGGACACCATGCTCCCTGCAGATGTGGGGCCTCCTACCCTGTGTCGTCAGGCTCCTGGGAGGCAGGGACCTGTGACCCCCAGATTTGGGAGAGGAACTCAGGGCCAAGCTATCCTCTTTCCCACCTCTTCCCCACTCCTCCACGACCAGCTCAAGCCAGCTGCGCCAGGACAGGGACCTCACCAAAGCTGACCTTTCACCTGCTGCCACCTGGGATGGGCCAGCCCTGTTCCCTAACACAATTGTTCCTAACAAACTCCCAGAAAGACTATAAAAGAGCTATGTGCTTTGCATCCTGGCTTCCTTTTCTTTTCTCCCATGATAGGATTGATTTTCTCCATTCCCCATGTCTTATATTATGCTCATTTCAGTTACTGTCTTAAGTAAATGTTTACTTATTATATAAAATTTATGTAACAATAAAATATACCATCTTAATCGTTTTTAAGCGAGTAGGTCAATAGTGTTAAGTACATCTGCACTGTTGTGCAACCAATCTCCAGAAACCTTTTCTGAAAGGTAATGTTAAATGATGCCAAATTTCAATTTCAAAAGTAGAGCGAACACACTAGAATAATGAAGATCCAGAGACCCAGCACTTACCACCATTGTCAAATCATTGCCAATTTCCTATCCCCCACCTAATCCTCCTGCCCTGTGACTTTTAAAATTTTCTTTAGCACTTAATAGAAATGATATACAATAATTTTTCACTGTATTGTACGAGATAGCCACCAAAGAAGTCTACATAGGTTAGAAAGAAGACACTGTAGATAGTTAAAGAGAGCCCAGTCCTGTGGGATACTTTCTCAGAGGATAGAAGTCAGATTAAGCAAATGCAGAGAAAGGCTACAACACAGGCCTTTGGAGCCCCTTCAAAAGATGCCTTTCCCCTGAGACAAAGTCTCAAACATTCATTCAGTCCCAGAGATGGCAATTACCTCTCTGCCTTGCCCACATGCCTTGGACACTATCCACCCATTCTCCCCAAATTTGGCTTTGCATTTGACCGCAGCACTCTATTAACCTAGAAGAAAACCAAGATAGAGTTACCCCATTTTTTGAGAGATCATCAGAGATACTCGTTTGAAGAATGGGAAATTCATACCCACCAAAATCAACTAGTTCCTACACAAACTGTCAAGTGACACAAGTGGGTTCTGCTTTCTCACTTGCAATGGCCTGTCCACTTTGAGGCACCAGTGCACAGGTTTCACAGGGTTTTTAAGACCCTTGGGAGCTACAACCTATCTCCAGCATCTGCATCTGGCCCAATACATCTGCTGAGCCTCATGCAATTCTTCTGATGATCTTCAAGGGTCCTTGAAGGATCAAAAACAAGGGTGAAGGGGGTGTGCTGCATACCATCACTCATGACATCCAAATCATCACTGAATCCCAGGGGTGAGTGCTCCATGGGCTGAGCTCATAACACTCAAGGATCCATCCAGAGGGCTGCCTTGCAGATTGTCTGACACAGTCAGTGCCTGCGCGGGCTTCTGTGCCCGAGGAGGCGACTGGAAAGACCGCGGGCAGTGGGGATCCTTACGGGGAACCTCTTTACATCCTTAGCAGCATTTGAAGCCAGGCTGATTTGTATCCTGACAAATACAACATGGCTTTCACTTGCTAAGCAGACTGGCTAAGTTCGCAGAGACTTCTTAGGTCTTGTTTGTGTGACATGATAGATTCCTCTGGAGGTGTACAGCCTTGGGGAAAACAGAAAATACTAATATTCACCAGGTACCACATGGGGACAGGAAATATAAAATTCCCTGCCTTTTCTCTCTCTTTCAGTCGAGGGCTGTCTCCATTAGACCAGAGTAAAGACATGGCTGACAGCTTTCTCTGGGTACAGATTTAAGGAAGGGTAAGGGCCTCACACAACTATGGATCGGAGAGGCAAAAAGCGTAAAAGGAAAACAAATGATTCCCTTCACTTCTTGCTGTTTTTTCTGGTCCTGGGATCAAACTCAGGACCTCACGCTTACCGGGCACACGCAGCACCACTGAGCTCCGTCCTTGGTCGATTCCCTTCACTTCCTCAATATATTTCATTTCCAATTTTTCTCTTTAAAATATTTATGTTCTAACACATGATTTTCATACAGCATAATAAGGAATGTCTAAAATAGACCTTAATATCTATAAGCTGTTTTTTTAAAAAAATTAAATCTGACCCCAAAAGTATAAAGACACAGAATGAAAAAAGGGTGTGCCTACCTCCCCTTTGCACAAATAATCCCGTTTGTTACATTCCTTCCCACTTAGTTCCACAGTTAAATGTAGTCTACAGAATTTCATACCTCATTTCGTCACTGTCGCATACCTGTCATTCATGTATTTTAAAATGTTTAATGCCTAAAAATACTACAAATTGGTCTGCCAAAATTTACTTCATAACATCTTCAAACATTGTAAAGCTGTTTCCAGTTAGTATATCTTTTTTGGAAAAAACTATTAGTCCACATTTGATTATCTTCTCCAAATAAATTCCCAGAGGAAAAAGTACCTTGTCAAAGAATCTATTTTCAAATTGCTTTGTAATACAGCCATACAATACTTATCTCGAGATCCCTGATTTATCTCATTAGCAATTTAATGCTGTTAATATAGTGCCAAAAAATTACTGTGTTTTCTACCAAAACAAAAGGGTAATGTTATACTGTGCTTCCTTGTAATAGTACCCTTTCCTACGGCCAGGGCCCTGTTATGTATTTTAAACTTCATTCCAATTACTAATTGTTTCCAAAATTGGGATTTTTTTTCATCCTTTCAATAATTTTGCCTTTGAAACTTCCTAATGTCTCTTAAGTTGGCTACAGAACCACAATTACCACCAGACTACAAGGTTTTTTTGGGGGGGTTGTTTATTGGATCTTAAAAGTACATTTTTATTATAGACATTGGGAAATTTATTTTTATAGTAGAAGCACGTGTCCAATATTGGCTATCATATGGAAAGTGTAAATTTTGGTGGATTTCATTTGCCTGTCAAGACATACTAAATATTTGGAAATTAAGGTGAATTTTCTCAGCCAGGTATGATGGCAATATGTAGGCTCAGCTGTTTGGGAGGCTGAGACAGGAGTCCTTAAGCTCAGAGTTTGAGGCCAGCCTGGGCAACAATGTGAGTCCCTGTCTCAAAAAAAAAAAAAAAAAAATATTTAGCGGGAAAGAGAATCTTGGTCTTTTGATAGGAAAGCTGATTTTTTTCCTATTTAATTTACAGATATTTTACCAATTTATTAATTGTTGGGATAAATACCTAATAAAGAATTACTCTCTTTAATGTATAAGATGACTGTGCAAAGTAATTAGAAACTATGAAGAGAGGGGCTGGGGATGTAGCTCAGTGGTGCCCGTGTCTGCCTGGCAAGCATAGGTCCTGAGTTCAATCCTCAGGGTACCAAAAAACCAAACCTCTGAAGACAAATGTTTAAAATATAATGGTTATCGGTAGACAGATTTAAAAGACAGTTGGAGAGTGATATCTCAATTTAAATAAATAAGAACTATAACAAAGAAAATTTAAATATATAGTTTTGATAGTTGAATATATTTTAAAATAAATTTGAGATGATAACTTATTTATTTATTTACTTCTTCTTACTAGGTAGTTCAGGTCTTGAACTCACTATGTAGACAAAGGTGGCCTTGTACTTGCAGCACTCCTCCTGCCTCAGCCTCCCAAGTGTTGTGATGACAGGCGTGCACCACCACACTTGGCTTAACATTTATTCTTTCAGTAAGCTGTTTCTCTCAAATGGACGGACTATTACATTTCCAAAGTTCTGAAATGGTAAACAGACCACAGAAATACATCTTTATGCTCCTGCTTGAAACCAAGAGCTCCTGCAAAGTGCCGGTCTTGATTCAGGGCCAATGCCCTGGGTTATTTTAAAGTGAATCATAGACATTGTTTCATCCATAACTACTAGAAACCCTAACTTTGAAAGATGAAGACAAAATTACAGTGCTGTCCTCACAACCCCAACACACAAGCACTAACTGTAGAAGGCGGCTTAGCTTTTATTTTTTTGTTTTTTTTTGAGATAGGGTCTCAGTATGTAGATGATACTGCCCTGGAACTCACTATGTAGCCCAGGCTGGTCTAGAACTCACAATGATCCTCCTGCCTCAGCCTCCAGAGTGCTGGGGTTACAGGCTGTGCCACCACGCTCAGCTTGCAGTTTAGCTTTTGAAGATCTAAACTTCACCCTCCACCCAGGCCTGGGTATACAGTAAGTTCCTCGCTTCTGAACAAGTTCCGTGCCAGAGAACATTCAGAAGTTGGATTCCTTCATAATCTGAGAAATTGAGTCTTCGATAGTACACACCTGTGACTCTTGCCAGGACACCTGTGAAAGTTTTTAACGCAAATGTTCCTAAGTTGAGGACTTATGGTACCACAAACGCCAATTCTGATGACCAAGAAACCAAAGACTTGAGATGCTTTCCAAGCCCACCCATACTCAGGCTTCAGCTTTCTGCCCCACAGGCTCCTGTTCTCTTCCCACTCTGCCTTCACCTCTTAGAGGGGCTGATGGCTTGGAGTGGCGGGTGCTGGATGAGCCTGATGCCCATATGGAAACCTGCATTCCTCTCTTCCCTGCCTGAATCCCAACTCCAGGAGCGTCCCAGTTTGGCCTCTTTCAGTGTTTTTACTGTATTTCCCTATTATAAAAGTATAAAAGTTATTGCAATAAGTCAATGTTAAAGATTTTCTGTTTTTAGTCTTAGAAAGAGAGGGAGAAAGGGAACCAGAAAGGCAGATTTATGTCAGCCGGGTGGGTTTTCAGTTGGGGCTCTGGAAACAGCTTTCCCCAGTGAGTCACAGGTAACTGACTCCTCCATGATCTCCCCCTGCAGTCAGGCCTGGGAGCCTTTAAATGAGAAAGGGAATGCAAAGGAATCCTCACTGCTGCCAGCCACCTCCTTCTCCAGTAGGTGGGATCCATTCTGGGGTCTCTCTGCCCCCGTTGATGGGGTGGATTTTGATAGAGGTGGAACGGAGAGCCAGATCACAGCTGGGTCACATGAGCTGGATTTATATCGCCTAGAGCGAGGACAACTCTCTTGTTAAATGAATGCAAGTTCTGTCTTCACTCTGGGAGAGTGGAGGGGACTCTGGTGAAGGTTGGCGGGGCACAGAGAGCTCTTTCCTTCTCACAAGCCCTGTCACAGTGCTCTGAAACTCTCTGCCTCGCACCTGCCTTGCTCTGCTGAGTCTGAGGGTACCCAGCTTGGGTGCTGTTTGATCACCAGGTGAATGACCCTTGGTTGTTAAATGCCCTGCAGGAGGCTTAGCAGCACCCTGGGCATCTGACTACTGAAACCCAGTCACAACAAGCCAAAAATGTCACCAGCCACTGCACAGTGTTCCTTGGGGGCAACAGTGCCTCTGGGTTGAAAAATCATTCATTCAGGGTACCTTCCTATGCAGAGAAACCACTTATTTTTTGTTTTCTTTCTGATGCCCAACACAGCAGCTTGCCCACTGCAGGAATCTCAAAATATTTGTGGATCCCTAAGAATGGTCCCAGGAAGCAGGTCTTGGACCCAGTGTGTCACAGATGGGGCAAAGGAGGATCAGAGAGTCATGCATCTCTGGGGTTTCACAGCTAGGAGCACCAGGCAGGTAACCTAACAGCCCCCTCTGTTACATTCAAGCCCCTGGGATCCTCTTGCTTTCAGCTCTGGTCGCCATGGAACAAGGTCGTGAACGCCTTTTGGATAGAATATTTAGAATATTCCAAGTGCCTGAAGCTGTTAATTAATGAGGAAGGCGTTCTGAGCCTTGTCTGAGTCTGGGGCCTTGGTGCCATCTGCTGTCAAAGCCATAGGAGGAGACTCACGGCCCTACCAAGTGCGAGAGCAGGGTAAAAATTTTAAAAGATTTCTCTAGTGCTTCAAACTGGAGAATGAATGATAAATTATAACGATTTGCACCACATTCACAGTGTGAGGCGGCAAAGCCCAGCGTCCCACTGCACTCAGGCTATGAATGAATTTAGTCACAGATCTGAAGTGCTGTCTTAATAAGGTTCAGATTCTGTGTTCCTTTTTACTAAGGAAAGTAGAACAGAGTAAACGTCTGACTCATATTTGGAAGTGGGAGTCAGGTGGGAATGGGAAGGGACTCACGGGCTTCGCAACCCGGTACCCAATTTTCAGGGCAGAAAAAAAATAAATCTAATTTCCAACTCTACCGCCACTAAGTGTTCTTTCAAAATCATGCTAATTATGAAGAATGGAAATAGCTTCATGCATCGATACCCTGAAGATCAGTCAGGCCCACACTGCTTGGTTTTGCTTGGCAGCGATGTTCAGAGGTAGCCCCGGGGGAAACGCTGCGGGCTGCAGGTTTATGTCAAGCTCAAATTCACGTGTTGGAATCCAGCCCTGCAAGGTGACTGGATTAAGGGGAGGCCTCGGGGAGCTGGACAGTCATGGGCACAGGGCCCGCATGAATGAGATCAGTGTCCTTGCCCTTCCACCAGGTGAGCACGAGGTGGGAGGCCCATTTACGAACCAGAGAGTGGGTTCTGTACCACACACTGCCTCTGCCAGGGCCTTGATTTTGGGCCTGCCAGCCTGAGACTCCTCTACTGTTAATAAGCTTGCCAGCAGACAGACTTTTATTATGGCAGCCGGAAGGGATGAAGCCAGGTATCATTTCTTCCCCAGGAGGCAGGGCCCTGTGGCTTCAAGGGCAACTAGAAATAGTACTCTGGGCCTTCAGTCCCGGCTCCGCGAAGCCCGGCCCGAAAAGCACAGCCGGTCCACTTGCAGTGAGGCTATGCTTACTGAGTCCCATTTACTGACCTGGTTGACAGGGCTCGACACCAGTTTCCTGCCTTTACTGCATCATGCTTGAGTGGATTTGGGAGGTCACTGTATTTGAGTTAGCAGAGAGAAGAAAAGCCAAACGGCGACTTTTCCAGTGTGAAATTTCTCTCTTCTTTTGTTTGTTTTTTGTTTTTGTTTTTTGTACTGGGGCTCAAACTTGGGTCTTTGTGCTTGTGAGGCAGGTACTGGAACCACTGAGCTAAATCCCCGGCTTCTCTTCTTTTCTTGCCCTCTCTCTCCCTTCCTTTTACTCTCTTGCAGTACTGGGGATTGAACCCATTCTTCTTTTTTGAGACAGGGTCTCAGTAAATTGTGAAGTTGCCCGGGTTGGGCTCAAACTTGCGATCCTCCCGTCTCTGTCTCCCAGATGGCTGGGATTACGGAGTGCGCCACCCAGGGGCTCGGTATGTCATCCCAGTGTACAGCCTTAGTGGCTTGCCTGTGCTGAGGAGGATCTGGAGCCTCCCTCAGGGATGGAGGACCGTGGCCTGGGACTGCGCTCGGGGCTGGTGGGCTGCAGTGAGGTGTGAGGCCTCCCAGGCTCAGGGAAGCACAGACAAGCAGAGGGAGGAGGCTTGGATGTGGCTGTGCTGGATCGCTCTCCTTCATGCAGGGCTGTGCTCCTGTGTGGCACAGCGAGCCCCTGTCCTCTGGCCTGCGGGATGGGGATGTTAACTGGGGTGTGGCCACATGGGACGGGATGGCACACAGAAACACACCTCTGGGTGCCACTGGGAGCACAGGGCTGCAACATCCCTCTGTTTAAGCATCCGCGTGCTTGCCGACCCCCTCATATTTATGCCCAAGGTGTAATAAGCAAAGCCCAAGGCGCCCAGGGCTGCACCCTCAATTCTCGCCGGCCCCATCACAGAACTCTCTCTTCAGCCTTTTGCTCTGACTGAGGCATGGTGAGCTTCCTGTCCACGAGGAGGCTGCAGTGCTGAATGATGACATCCAGAGGGCAGGGGTGGAAGGTCCGGCTGACAACACGCCACGATGAGGCCACGCACGGCGGCCGTGGAGAGTGCTGGTGACAACACTGGTGACAACAAGTGCTTTCTCCACTTCTGATCAGAGGTCACTGGGGCCTGGAGCCAGCTTGGTGAAACCAGGATTTAACCCTGTCTCCACGAGTTCTTTCCAGTGGATCCCTCTCCCTCTGAAGGACTAGAAGTTATCACAAGGCTGCTCCTCCCTCTGGAACTTAGACTTGGGAATGGCCTTTTCTCTCCCCACTCTTTTCCAAGGGTTTCTCAAAGACATTATCTCCACCACAGGGGCAGACTGACCAGGGACACCTGCTGTGGCCCAAACCCAATATCTGGGTCCTACCCTCCACTGAGTTTCATCTCTGTGACTGTTGCCTATAAGACAGGTGGGGATTTTCAGCTAGAAAAGCATCCTGGCTTCTGAGCTGCTGCCCTGGCGTCCTTCCTACTACGCTGAGGAAATGTCCAGTCTTCTAGCCAAAGCTTTCCTTATCAGCTCCCCAGCCCCAGGCTCCACAAGACTGGCATGTCCTGTTTTATCCACTTAAAAATATAAATGACAGGGGGATTGTAAATGTTTTAATATTAGATTGCAGTGATGGTTGTACAAGTCTGTAAATGGAGCACATAATAAAACAAGTGAATTTTACGGTATATAAATCATACTGTGCATTGAAAAAAGAAATGACAAGGATTTTTTTTTTTAAAAGAGGCTGTAAAGCAGTGTGTACAGAATCTCCTTAATCACTTCAGAGAGCAGAGGCTGAATGGGAAAGGCTGGCTACATATTTATGGCAACTCAGCTAAAATTATTTAGCCCATCCTCCATTGCTCCTTGGAAAAGTCACTGGAATTGAGGCTGTGAGACTCAATTCCACACCACTACCTCTTACACTCTGTTCAGGGCCTGGCAGGTAAGAGTGGAGAGGGGATGTGATGCAGGGGATCTTGAGACAGAGTCTGGCAGGGCTCATTCTCAGGGTTATTTCTTTTTTTTTTTTCTTTTTGGGGATCGAACTCAGGACCTTGCACTTGTGAGGCAGGC